AAAAAAATAAAATAATTTTATAAAAAATTTTATATAAATATTATGTAATAAGATTAAAAAAAAAATTAAAATTAAAATAATTCAAATTTATAAAATAAACTGTAATAATAATTTATAAACAGTAAATTTTTTTTTAAAAAAAAAAAGTAATTTTATTTATTTTTAAAATTATATCTAAAGATTAAATATTAATAATAAATATATATTATTACTTTAATATAAAAAATAATTTATATAAAATATTAATCTATATAATATATTTTAACTAATTTTCTTTTAAAAATTTTATCTATATCATATAATCTAATGTGCTTTATTTAAATAATACAGTATATTAGTTTAAAAAAAAACTATTTTTTTTAATATATATAGTTAAATAACTATTTTTGTAGGTTAATATTTAACTTAATTACATATTTAAAAAATATAAAATTCTTTTACAAATAATATATATAATATATATTTAAATAAAGAATTATAGTTTATCAATAATAATAATAATGATAGATATTTAAATAATAAAATAATTTATATAAAATTTTTAATATTATTATGTTTTTTATTTTAAAGATTTAAAAAATAATTAAATAATCAAATTTTTATATAAAAATTTTTATCATAATTATTAATTATTATTCATGATAAATTAAACAGAAAATCACTAGTTTAAATTTGTAAACGAAAACTGAATCTGTAAACCGTATATACATTATATTGTAAGTTATTTTAATCTATAAAAATAAAATTATTTAATAATTTGTATGTTTTATTTACTAAGATAACAAAAATACTAAATATGATTTTTCGGTTTCTATTTTTGAATAATCGATATCTTACGCAAATTTCAAGGATCATTAATGCGAGATTTAAAAAATTCCTGCCTGTCTTTAAAAATAGTTATCAATATATTAATTAATACAATAAACATGTTATTTTAATTATATAATGTATATACAGTAATTATATTAAATTAATATTCAATAAACATGAAAACTGAATTCACATGAAATTTCTATATTTTACCTATCATAAGTCGGATACTTTTTCATTATTGCATAAAATTTTAATATACTAGAAGATAAATAAAAATTATTCGTGATCCATTTTCGTGAATAAAGATCGAACTGTTTTAATTAACGTTCTTGGGCATATAGATTATCATTATTTCTAATATTCATTAAAATATTCCTAGCCTTCAAAGATGATTGCCCATATATTACAAATTTTATTCTAGAAGCTCTTACTATTCTCATTGTTTTTAATTGGAATATAATAATTGAATAATTCCTCAGTATTGTTTAACGAGTTTCCCGATGATGCACAGTTACCTACCGTCAAATCTACCACATGAGTGTACGTACATCGTATTGTTATAATTCAAAGAATGTTACACACTGATGATAGGGCTGATATATTACATACAGTATATATATAAATAGTGTATATTCGAAATGAATTACTCAAAATATCAATTTTAGATGTCATATCTACATCTACCTTTAGAACTCGTCATTGTAATATTATCATTCGTGCCTGCTCGGGACCTTTGTAGATATATGAGTTTGTCAAAGGCCCTTGAATATGAAATCCGGAAAATATTAGTGGAAAGAATTCAATATTATTTCGAGGAGGGAAGAAATTATTTATTGGTTTGTATTGTTAAAAACGTCGGTTTAATTTTTCTCTTTAAATATAATTTCTAATTATCGATCTCATACTTAATAATTTCTTATTCAACGTCGCTCTTTTTTCCCCCCAAAAAGGCGACAATTGAGCCTCAAGATGATCACAACTCCGTTCCAACTCATATTTTTGATCTGGTGTTGTTAAATGTGGATTCAACATCGTTGAAAAGTCGATTTAGGATCTCGTCTATTGAAAATTTACAATCTCCAAAAATAATAGCAAGAAAATTGGGGGGTACCGAACGATGGGAAACAATTCAGCAGAATGCATATATCAATCTCGAATTTTCCTGGAACCCGATCGTTGATTCATTTCAACCAAATAATGTTTCAATACATGTTTTTTCACCACATGATATACGACATGAAGTGATTTATATTTCCAAAGGGGTTGTAGATTTCAAAATAGACTTTGGTCCCGAATCAACCATACGATGGGATAGTCCTGTTGATGATAACTCGACGATTACCGTTAGCATGGAAAAAGAATATACGGATTTTCAAAGCGTGAGCGCGATGGTACATGTAGAGGAGGTCATTGTTAATTCTGGTGTATTGTTAACTGCTATCGAAGAAATGCGGAAGGATGAGGTCACAAATGTAGTGCTCGAGGATTCGTATTAACATTAAAATTTTCGTGGACACTAGAATTTTAAATGATGTACATATAAAAACTTGAATAAAATAAATAAATAAACAGATTAACTGAATGCCTTTGCTGAGGCAGCATTTCAACTACTCAGAAAGTAGACTACATTTGGGATTCCCTTATACAACGTAGTGTGCGTGCTATAATAAATTATTGAATCAGGACTGCTGGAATAATTATCCGAAAGATGAACCGACTCGATCGAATCATGAATTACTAATTGAATGATAAGCCTTATCGATGATACAGTATAATGCTGTTGAATTCAATTAATCAATTAATCAATATAAAATATAAAACGTGATATTTGATTTCAAATTAATATCTCCTATTTATTAAGATGAAAAGCAAACAATTATATTTTCTCAAAAATGAACACACATGATTTATAAATTTTCACATACCGAATAATTTAAGATTTATTTTTTAATTGCAAATTTTTTAATACTAGGTATACTGTTTAAAAAAATATATCTGGTAATTTTTTACAAATATAAATGATTATAAACATAAACATGAAATTTTTTTAAATTGAAATTACTATTCTAAAATAATATTGTCCATTAATTGATTATTAAAAAATATATATATATTTGAATTAAAGAAATTGCAGTAATAAAGTATATTTTAATTTTTTTAATCAATATAATAATTTGATTTCTTATCAAAAAAACATTATTTTAAAAAGCTTTTTTAAAAACCACAATAAAAAAAATTCAATCATTTTATAATAATTATTTTTTAATAAAGAATTTGATAATTTTATTGCAAAACTGACCAGTGTATCTATAGTATAGTGATTAATGCTTTACATGTCAAATTACAAAATATCATAAAGGTAATTGAATTAATTTAAAATAATATCTGATATTATAACCTGTTATATATTGTTTTTTATAAAAAGTCAGTTTATATGTTAATTTAGCAAATATAATTTTATAGAAAGTGTAGTGACATAATAATTGTTCAATTAGTGTTATAATAATTATCAAAAGCAAGTCTTATGATAATTAGACAAAATAAAATAGGAACATTTGTCTAATTTTTTAATTAAAACTTTTTTTATATTTTAATATATAAATTGGATTATATTTTATTCTAATTAATTTCAATTGTTTTTTCTTTTTCTATTAATTATCAAATAAAAAAACTTTAAAAAAAATACTAAACTGATATTAATATCTTATGTAATATGATTTTCAACAGCTTACTATATATATAGGAGTTGTACTTTGCTTGATATTTATGTTCTTATATTTGACAATTTATATCAATTGTCTTTTGAAGTATTTATTAAAAGACTAAAGAGCTAAAAAGCTTGTTTCATATAGCTTGTATATTTTTTAAAAAAAATATACTTCTTTTGATTATAAGAATTTTTAGATTTAATAATTAAAATTAATTAGAAAAAATAAATATTTAGAATATTTAATAGAAAATATATATATTATATTGGTTATATAAATAAATATATAATATGATAAATAACTTATATAGATAATTAGTAGTATTTCATTATTCTTATATAAATTAAATATATAGATTGAGTGATTTAAAACTAGTAATAGAATTTTTATTTTATAAATAAGTTTTTTTGAAAATATATAATATATTTTATAGATAAATAATATATTACCAATAAGAATTCTAATAATTTAATTCAATTTGATTGATTTTTAGATTTATATTAAATTTGATATATAATTTATATTTTGTTATAATTTTTAATAATGTTTCAAATTTTATATAAGCTTATAAGAATTTATATAAGTTTAATTTTCAAAACTATAATTATTAAATATAAAAAATAGATATGCTAGTATTTAGCTATTATAATAACAATAGAAAATAGTTAATATAATATAAAATTAAATATGATTTAATAAAAGCCTATATCTAATGCTATTCTACTATAGTAAATATACATATTTCTCAAGACTATAGAAAATTTTTTTAAAAAATATATATTTATAAAAGATATGTATTTATAAAGATAATTTTATTAAAGGTTTTATATACTTGGGACCAAGCTTGACTATGTATTTAGAGAGAGAAAACACAGTAAGTGTATTTATAAAAAGTATATTAAGAGAGATTTCTTTGTATAAAAAAAAAAGATAATTTTATTACAAAACCATTTTATTAAATTTTATTATATTAAATAATTGTTGTATTACATTTTACATATCAATAAATCAGCATACAGTATATAATTAAATTTTTATTTAAAAAATTATTTTAAGTTAAATGAATAGTTTAAATATTCTATAACCAAATCAATATTTATTATTTTTGTTGCTATTCCAATTTTCAATAATTTTATCATTATGTTCTAATACGTATTTTTAAGTTTTTTTGGAAATACCATAATTATGTTAGTTCAGGACCTTTTTGTTTCTTCTACTGAACTTCTGGCTAAAGCAAAATAGTTTGGTATATATTTACATACAGTAGCTATGTTTTTTTTTTTTTTTAAATGAACGTCAAAATAAGAAACCTTTGATTACAATTATTATTTAAATTTTAAAATTTGATACTATTGGATTAAATTCTTTTTAAAAAATCATTCAATATCACCATTGCTTTTTGTACATTCTATATATGCTGTGCTGTATGTTGGTTACATATTTTTTAACAGAAAATACTTTCTTATTAAAAAATAAAAATTTTTTTGAAAAATTTTTACAATAATAATAAATTGTTTTTTTAAAAAAAAAAATGAAAAAGTGTATGTAAAATATGACATGTGTTTTGAAATCGAAATGTTTCGGATAAAGCAGACTTCACGTTTTCAACAAGATAATTGATAAATTAGTCAATGATATCGATAAGGTTAACGTTGTTGTTATATTAGATGAGCATTGGTTAGATGTCAAAATTTTTCACCAAACATCCTCGCATGTGAATTGACAATCTGCATTAATTTACACACTATTTTTTTGTTTAAAAAGCAGTTTTCACTGAGCGTGGTGATTCTACCCAAAAATTATGTCATCAACGGGAACAAACGACATTCGTCCAAGGAAGGTTTGTCTTTCGTACACAGGTACCTAAATGCTTCTTTCTTCAATCTTCAATTGCATCAATTTACACCGATTAAGCGATGATGTCTTCTTTCCTAGGTGGTAAGGATTGCACATTAACTTTACACCATTTATCTGCCCATCCTCAACAATATACCATTAACTCATTGGTGACGTTCACACCCTCGGGCCCAAAACCCTTTCTCGCTCACCCTCAACCCTTGATAAAGCTCCAGTCATCCGCTCTCCAGCTCCCTCATCAATTCCTCTCGGTGAGTGCACCCTACGTGGACTCATATCGTTCATTGATTTCGTCGCTCGGAGTTGATGCTCTAGCCACCGGCGATATTCTTGATGTGTGTGACCAATTTATGGATCGCGTCGTCAAAGGCACTAATGTCGAGTTGGTGCGTCCGTTGTGGGGACGTGAGCGAAGTGAAATGATCAATGAAATACTGAACTTTGGTTTCGAGGTGCTGATTACTTGTGTGAATCTGGAGAAGGTGCAAGAGGAGGTGGCCAAGCAGTTGGTGGGAAACATCCTCACAAGGGAACTGTACGAGAATGTGATCTCGAAACAAGAGGGATTGGATGAAAGTGGCGAGATGGGTGAGTATCATAGCATGGTGTTGAATGCACCGTTATTTAAGAAACGGATCGTGATTAACAGGGGACGACAAGTTGTCTCGGATGATGGAAGGTTCATGTATTACGAAGTTTTAGAGTGCAAAGCTGTTGATAAATTATGATTCTTTTGATCACACTTTCCGTTTATCAGATATTTACAGTAAGATTATAGAAATACAATGTTTTTTTTTTTATCGAACAATTTTTCGAAGCATAAAATGCAAGTATTTGATTCATGCGCGTGTGATAAAACTTTAATCTCGGTAAATTAATAAGAATAAAGTCCTTTCTCTTGAAAAATAAATAATTTAAAAATGTTCATCTCGTCTTAAGACTTTTCCGCCTCATCGGTAGCATCTCCTCCCACCTCATCCACCATGCCATTTAATTTGTTTTCTTCTCGGATATCCTCCATATAATCAACATCACAAACAAACTGTTTCAAAAATTGTTCCAGGTAATTTATTCGTTCGTTAATGGTTTCGTCGTCGCCAGATGTCTCAATCAACGGTATGGATTTGGGATATTGTTTGTGGAGTGACCGCTTTACCTTCCGACGCATACAAAATGCCTGACAGAATCCCCACGGGACGATCGGCATGAACCCTGAAAAAAAAATTAACGAAAGGATAAATTTCGTTCATTATTCCACGCGCTCAAACAATATTATAAACGATACCTACCGAATAACAGAACATAGGTTCCGACGAGAAGACCGTAAAAACCTGAAAGTAGAGCCAAGGAATCTGTAATCTATGTCACGAAAGATAATTGAAATGCGTTAAACCGATAATTCGTAAATCCGGAATTTGAGAGAATACTCGAGGAACTTACATGACGCATCCTGCACATGAAATGTAGAATTCAAATGAAAGCATTTGAGTGAATTGAAGGAACACGAACATCGAAAAAGCAAACCACGTAAAGGCACGTTACCTAGTTTCTGTGCTAACGTCCTGGTACCAATCCATCGCGCCCACGTAAAGATTTGAATATAATTGTGTTCCGTTGATCGATTGATTCGCGTACGCAGACGCAGTTGTCGGGTTGGTCACCGATTCTAGGTTAAGCGGAAGTAATTCTTAATGGTAGGAAACCATTAGGAAAGGAAAGCAAAAAATAAAAAGAGATAGGTCCAAACCATATTTCGTGGTGATATAGCTTGTGTCGAAATAACTTGGTGGTGCGCCTAGCACGGCCCAGAAATTTGGAACCATTTTCCTTCGGATATGCCTATTAATAAACATCCAGTTCACCTAAATAAAATTGAGAAAAATCGTTAACGATTTTACTTTGCAAGTCAAAAATCTTTTCTCGTACACCTCACCTGCTGAAACCCAATCACGTGCAAGTTCAAATTTTCCAACGTTGCAAAGAATTCCGAGTCGACCTCTTTGGCGCGAGCATTAACGCTCACCGGCACCGTGCGAGGATTAAAATCAGAGTCGTAAGCCCTCACCAACATTCCCGCGTCATTCCCGCGAATATACCTCGGATCGTCAATTCTTATGGTGTACCAAACAGCATTGAGTTTTTCGGTCTTGTTAAACACCAAACCTTCGGTCGCGGTGAACCATCCGTGCCATCTTGCATCCGTCTCGGATAGATTACAGGCAGGTTGAGTGATGTAGGAGGAGCAAGCGTCGGGTGTTGATTCCCGGCCATCTATTTTTTTTACGTTTAACAAGAGAGTACCAATGTAAGTCTCAGGTCCAAAAGGCGTGAAACATGTGAAGCAAATTGTTGACTACCAACCGAGGTAACGAAACGTGCAAGTAATGTTAAAATGATAGTTAAACGTGAATTCCAAATCTACAGGGATTTTCATGTGGACACGTGAATAAATTTATCAACGAACAGAAACCGATTATCTCATAAACCGAGTAAAGAACGCGAACCAGGAATAGGTATGTGAGGAGCTTCTTGCAATTGAGATTTGGTGATGCCTTTGTCCGACGCCAAAAATATCACCGCTATGGCAAAATAACCGCATAATAAAATCCCTAGCGTAAGTAATGTTAATCCTCGGGCATATAGCAAAGACTTATTTTCGGTCTTCCGATATCTCTGTGCGAACTCCTTGGTTTCATATAGTAATTCCACCATGATTACTTATAATTAGGTGTGTTTATTATGTGCGAACGAAAATAGAATATTTATTATGCTAGATTTATAGTCTTCAAAATTATTTCTCGTAATTAAGATTAGATCACGAACACAAGATTTTCTCCCGCTAAACTATTAACAAATTCTATTGAGTTTCATTGTCAATGTTCTCATCGATGACTCTACTATTCCGGTCTTAGATCCTGGTGATCCTGGGGGAAAGAGGAAGAAAAATTGAGTGATTTCAACCCCGATGGCCGATTAAAAAAATGTACGATATTTGTGCACATCAAAACTAAATGGAACCAATTACACAACACGAATGGGCGGAGATCCTATATCCATCTATGGTTCGTCTTTTACGACCGGATTTCCATATTTATCACCTCACGTTCGGGCTAATAGTGTCAACAAAATATTTCTGTGCGACGACAAAGCAATTTTCTTCTTGATTAAATGCATAACCACGAAGATCCATAGGTATTGTACGTCATGAACGGTTTTGACATGTATAAAAGGTTAGTTATTCATTTTGACTATTTTGGTTAAATTGAGGTTTGTTTAACTTCGAATGGTTCGGTCGCTCAAATACTTACGTGACTGTTTTGTTTGAACGTTATTGAAGTTAACCAAAAGGTATACAAACTCTGATTCCTTTCAAAAGAAAAATATGCAGTATTGTTCTCGTAGTTCGGGATCACACTCTTAATCACTTCTTTTAAAGGGATGCATTCTCAGAATACCCGAATTTCGGTAAACCGGATGTGTCGATTAGCAAAACTATCAAATAAGGAAATTACAATCGAATGTAACGGATTCATTGATTACGTTTTTATTATTGTTTACGAGCAAAGCAAATGCACGACGACAGATAGCGTGAGACACAAAAAACATTACTCAAGAAACTCCGCCGACAAAAAAACGAATCGCACTAGAACGGTTCTGATCATCAAAATTAAATTAAAATTTTCCATTTGTGATCAATAATGCATGATCACTCGCTTCTAAGAATAAAAATTGAGTATAGGTAATTTTTCTTTTCTGTTTACCTTATTATTTTTCACGGATGCGTACACACGAACTCGCCATATCAATGATCATTCAAAATTTCCACAAAAAGAATCGTCCAAGTGAAGTTGTTTTCTCGTTGTCGCGCGTTCACATGTTTATTCTGTGTGAGACAAACTTTAGTGTAATCGTTCCGCCAGCCCAGACTTGCACATGCATGAGGCATCAATTTCAACAAATGATTTCATTCTGAAAACCTCTTTTACATGATCTTACTGGTGGTATTCTGATCTTTTATTGATGATTCACAAGTTGCACTTTAATTGGCTCCGATAAACACACGCAATTTCGGCAATCCCAATTATGCTTTAAAATTTACAGATTTGTCAGTGTGATACAATTACAAGAAAAATAAAGCTAATGTCTTTTGTTTTCATGGCTTTTTTATCGTCTTTCCAAAGTATTCGAATCACCGCCAGGTTTCCAGAGTTTCATTAAGGATTGTTAGGGAGATCGCGCTCACATACCAGATTTACTGTATAATTGCGTTAATGGAAATAAGCGTCATAGAGCAATAACGTGTTTTTCATAGAAAAATCGAAAAAAGGTGCTTCAACCAGGTTACATTCCTGTGAGCTCTCGAAAGAAATTTTACAATCACCACCGAACCCAAGAGAGAAGATTAACCCCCCAAAGGGTCAGTTCCTTTATTCAAAGAAGAAATGTCAAAGTTTCTTCACGAAACAAAGTCAATATTCCATAAACATGGAAAAACCGAACCCATCCACTTGGTTTGCATGAGAAGCATTTGTATTATCATATGCGGATCACTACTTTTGACATATCTTATTTTTCTGGCAATTATGATTGCCACCGACAACAAACCTACCCTCATGACAGCTCTCGTGGCCAAACCTTATATTCCGGTTCCAGGTATTTACCATTCCATAATCGTCTCAACCTGATTCAAAGGAGATTACTACTGATTATCAACTCACGCCAAAAAAAAAACTCGAAACGAAGACTTGGTCGTCAGTTCGAATTTTAATTTTTCAATGAAATGCCAGTTCCAGTACTTAGGTAAAACGATCAGTTTGTGAAATACACGGCAAATGAAGATTTCTTAGTTCAACGTACCCTGCATTTCCATCCGCAGATCACGTGAGTACAGAACAAGACACGACAGACTGTACTTCATACATCTTGCCAACCGAATGTTCGCCCGAAGATGAATCCAATAGATTCACCGGTCGTTGTACGAGTCAATTCCTTTCAACGAATTCTTTGAATCTCAGTCTACCGGATAAACGTTACGGCCTCACGTTTACTTTCATTCGTTCCCCTGATCATAACGATACTTCGGACACTGGAATGAAGATCAGGGCCGTGGATTCGCGTAAGTTCTCGACGTGTGGACGGATGACGGATGGATAAAAGGATTATTGACGAAGGTGTATTCTCTTCTAGTATTTAACCCAGCAAGGCTGCCCGCTGACATAAAATCGCTTATAACCCAAATCAATCCGTGGCTCTTTGACGAACTCGAAAATCTAAATTTTCACATCATAGGCTATCACAAGGTAAATAGCTCATTTCTCGCGCTTAATCTTTTTAAAAAGTTTTTTCGTGTTAATAGTATACACATGTGTTGATATTCTTTTTTTTTTTTTAATAAAAAAGGTTTCAAAAATGCTGTTCACCAGAAAAGTGAAAAACCTGATGAAACCAAATTTTCTGAATGTCATCGGTATCCCACCGAGTTACCTGAAGCAACCTTACATCGAATCCACTTTCGGTACTCACCTATGAACTGCGACTCTTTTCACGAAAAAATTTTCTTTCTCCCTTATTCACACATCCTTCTCATTTCAACAGAATCAGCAATAATTCCGTACGCGTCACAGATGTTTGAAAATGCCACCTTGGGTGACATTTATGCTACCTTGTTCATCGGTACTTACAACTGGCTTGAACAAGTTGACACTGAGATTAGGTAAGCAATTGCGCTGTAGATAGATAGATATATATAAAAGATCACTAATCACCTTTTTGATTTGCATTTTTAAAAACTGTCCTAGGTCCACCAATGTGAGTACATTATTGAATTCAAGATAATGATTTATGTGAAACCGTTTCGATCCATGTTTCACGTGACGATTTCATTACTCAAGGTTATTTCCTTTTATATTGATTTTTAGATTTTGGATTCTATTGCTTTGCTTGCCGGTCTATATGGACTATTGACAGCCATTTACATTTGTTTATTTGGTAAGTGCTTTCTTCTATTTTGCGTGGTTCACAAGTTCCGTAACTAAATTTCGTACTGCAATTTGTTTAAAGGTGTCACTGCAATATCTCCATGGGGTATATGTCAACGCGGATGTTGTGGGCGTCGTTCCCGCGAGAACGTCTATCGAAAATTCGCTCCGCGTGGTTTGCCCATCCTCTCGCAATCTCGTATCCGACAACCTGTCATCCAGCGGTTGGACGACTTGGAAGAGTACATAAGACTATTCTTGTTGAATGTATCTGCTATACAAGATGCCGATTCGAAACCTGATGACCTTGAGCACAAAACCATACCCAAAGGTCATGAACGACCTGGCAAGAAATCAAAAAGACCTTCCCCACCTGTATCGATATTGAATTCGGCTCCGTATGACAAGTCGAATAGGACTTCAAAATTCTCCTCATCTTCGGATCATGAAAAGACTGCTAACGTGCCACCATCAGACAACGACACGAGTCATCCGATCGATAAACTGAAATCGTTCTTCTCGCCTTCCGGTAAATCACCAGAGTTGATACAAGAGAAAACTCCCGCAAATTTGGACTTTGCACATTCACCCATGGCCGGGACTTCCGATGCGACATCTACATTACCTGTTAGAACCGACACCCTTCTGCCGCTGTCTCCAGTTTCACCAAGCATTTTGTTGACAGAAGCCGATAAACCTGAATCAGATCAAACATCCATTTCATCGCAGTCTTCAAGTTCTCAAAAAATTCTTTTCGCGGCTAATGAACAACCCGAACGTGAACTAGATATTCCAAAGGGTGTACTAAACGTTTCTCAGAACAAGGAGGATACTCCAATGCAGTCTCCAAGTTCACAAAAAGTTCTTCTCACGACTAATGAACAACCCGAGCGTGAACTAGATGTTCCAAAGGGTGTACTAAACGTTCCTCAGAACAAGGAGGGTGCTCCATTGCAGTCTCCAAGTTCACAAAAAGTTCTCACGACTAATGAACAACCCGAGCGTGAATTGAATATCCCAAAAATGGGTGTACTAAACGTTCCTCAGAACAAGGAGGGTACTCCATTGCAGTCTCCAAGTTCACAAAAAGTTCTCACGACTAAAGAACAACCCGAGCGTGAATTGAATATCCCAAAAATGGGTGTACTAAACGTTCCTCAGAACAAGGAGGATACTCCATTGCAGTCTCCAAGTTCACAAAAAGTTCTCCCGACTAAAGAACAACCCGAGCGTGAATTGAATATCCCAAAAATGGGTGTACTAAATGTTCCTCAGAACAAGGAGGGTACTCCATTGCAGTCTCCAAGTTCGCAAAAAGTTCTCACGACTAATGAACAACCCGAGCGTGAATTGAATATCCCAAAAATGGGTGTACTAAACGTTCCTCA